TAGTAATTTGTGTGCCTCAGCTTTTTGCAAAATGGGTGATGACTCCAGTCAGCTGGAGTCCCTGAAGCTTGTACCAGTGACTATTGCAGTCTATTTAAAAACCATCGCCTCTCTTGTTTTCCAGATTATTCAGGACAGAATATTTAAGCACATATCACGTAACAGCTTAATATGGAACAAACCTCCTGGAGGGTTATTTGTACTGCCACAGTATTCCTCATATCTGGGAGATTTTCCTTACTACTATGCTAATCTCGGTGAGTGAATCCTTGCTGTAATCTAGTGGCATTTGGAATTTCTATTGGAAATCTGGAATTTGATCTTTGAGTAGCATGTGCCAAGTGACTTACCATTCATTTCTAGTTAATGATGCCTTTCGTTTATCCTGTCTCAATCTTCCCTGCCCACTGTAGACTGGAATGTCTCTGACTCATTGACATGCATCATGTGCTTCTTGCTTGCAAAGATGGTTTTATAAAAATCTGTGTCCCTTCATACTTTTCAGTTGCCAGTAATTAATGCCTGAGTTGCTGACCCATTCACGGCCCGAAGGGACATAAAAGGAATAGCTTTTTGCTTTCTTTGTTTATTTGTGCTTGGCAAATTGGAAAAGTGGTAATTTACCCATGACACTTGTTATTGGAGTGCATAGTTGGTATGGATTTATTCTCCATACTGTGTATCTTCATACAGACCCCACTAGAAGGAATGAATGAATAGGACTTAGGTTCGTGGCCTCTTTCTGAAGCAGAGCTTAAATGATGCGTTCTGCAGGGGAATGTGCCTGCAGGCTGAAGTGATCCTGCTTACCAGACTGCTGCTACTTTTGGCTCAGCCTGTGCCATCCTACTTGTGTGGATCTGTACTGCTCACCTGCTAAAAATTCACAGTTACCATGTTAAAAAGGGAGAAGGTTTTTGTGAGAATTCTGATGAAAAATGACTATGACCCCACACAGATGAATTTAGATGAGGATGAGAGCAGTAATGAAGGGTAGACACCAGCAGGATCTGTAATTTCAGGCAGAAAAGGAAATCATAGCGAGACAAAAATATCAGAATGGAAGGCAAGGATGCAAGCAGAATTATCAGCTTAGGAGATAATTGGGGATGCATGTGGATGGGGATCGACCCAGAAAGAACAAAAATCTGACAGAGGCTGTAATGGAACTGAGGAAACTGAACAAGCTTCTGGAAGTTGGGGAGATAATCTGTAGAAAACATCAAGCATCCAGAGCCAGGCAGCAAAACGGAGCCCGTGTCAAGAAAGTCATTTGATTGAACAAACTAGATGTCAGTATTATCTGTGGGACAAACTGGATGAAAGAAAGATTGCAGGACATCTGTGGAAATAGTAAGAAAAGGCAGTAACTATGTTGGAGTCAGGGATTTCAGAGGGTGTGGGAGTTAAAGGGAAGTGTAATCTCCTCTGAAGCATCTGGTATCCTAGTATCCGAGACGAAAGGAGATGGCCTAAAAAAACGTGGCAAGGTTTGCATTAAGTGCAGATTATTTTTCCATCTCCATAGTCCTTTAATCTGTACTAACTGGGGCAATTTTGTCTTTACTGAACGCATATCTCTTCACTTCAGGTCTGAAGCCTCTTTCCACATTCACTGCCGTGATCCATGCAGTAACTCCCCTGGTTTCCCAATCTCAGCCTGTGCTGAAACTCCTGGTTGCTGTAGCCAAGTCCCAGTACTGTGCACAGGTAAGCAGCCCTCTTTGACTGTCAGCCACTGGAGACAAAACTACTATCCCAGGAGTGAAGAGCCTACTGACTTCAAATCTTCCTAGTCTATTTCAGCCCCGTTCCAATTCTGATGTTTCTTTTCTCTGAGATTTCTACTGTCTGTGACCTGCATGCATGGGAAACAAAAATTCTGAGTATGGTAGGAGTGGAATAGAGACAGTAATCAAACCCCTTTGTTTCATGAGGCAGGTGAAATAATGACTTCAAAGATCAGGATTGTGTGTGCTGCAAACTGCAAAAGGATATCTGTGCCTCCAGAGCCCCTACGTGATCTTCCTTCCTCCCACTGTGGCTCTTAGTCTCAGCAGTGCCAGGATTTTGGCTTCTCTAAAAGAAACCCTGGGGAGTTCAGTAGGAGGACCCTCTTGCACCGGAGTGTCCCAAGTGGCTTAGCCTTTAATGAGGGCCAAAGTAAATCAGTGACATCCGTATGACCTGGCTGAGACAGACACTTCCTGAGTTCTGTCCAGCCTGTATTTGCCTGAGAGCACGTATATTGTAAATAGTCAGGATGGGTGAAATTACTGTAGGAAGTGTTATTTTTATACAGATTTGTATCATGGTTGTTGATTTTGAAATTCCTGACTTTAATTTAACATTTCTGTCTGGAGATCTGAGTCAGTTTGGACTGCATTGCCACAGAGGTCTCTGATCATGGTCCAATATTCCCTTTCAGATTATTGTTCTATGGAATTGTGATAAACCCCTCCCAGCCAAACACCGCTGGCCTGCCACATCTGTGCCTGTCATAGTCATTGAAGGAGAGAGCAAGGTAGGTGAAGAGAAGCACGGTAAAAGCATGCCTGTATTCTTCAGTGGGACCAGAATTTATTTTTCCAGCTGCTTTGGTGAAAGCTTTGTAGTTCCCAATGGTGTGACAGCTCCTTTCTCTTCCTTGGCCCTTTGTAGCTGCTTGGTCACGGATTTGTGCATGAGGCCCGTGCTCTCAGAAATCATCAGTGTGGCAATTCATGCCATGAATCTGAGATTCACAGGTGGGACCCAATTTTGAAATGTGGCCCCGAGAATAGGTAGTGCTGACCCCGTCTTTGGGGATTTCTGTCTCTCTGCAGGTGCATGAAAGTAGGGATGCAGCTAGATTCATTGAGTCTGAGCAGTCAGATGCAAGACTTGGGGGTCAGCTGTGGACTCAAAAGCAGTGGAAGAGATGAGAATGAAAGGTGTTAACTTGCCTTTGAAAAGTACCTTCTTTCATGGCATGGTAGTGTACTGGTGCTAGTGATGGGATCCCACCACAAAAAACAAAGGGAGGGACAAGGAACACTTGCATAGAAACAAAACTACCATGTCATCTCTTGCTGTGCCACACACTTGTTTGTTTATACTTCCACAAAGTCAAGACAGACACCACACAAATGAGAAAAGAGAGGTTTTGGGGTTTTTTTTAAAAAAAAAAATCCACACTCACCAGCCAGGAGTGGGGAATCGGGAAAAGGAGAGCAGACCCATGGGTCAAAGTGAAAACAGATTTGATGAAACAGCACTAATACCAACAAAGGTATACAAAGTTATACTCAGCCAAATAAATATCCAGTCATCACAACTGACAGGAGAGCAGTCCTTAGGAGCAGAGAAAAACCCAAGGAAAAGCAGAAGGAACCCCACAGCAGCTCTTTCTTCTCAGCCAACCTTCCCCCTTTATAATGACCATGGCACTATGGGATGGGCTACCCCTGTCGCTAACTCAGGTCAGCTGCCCTGGCTGACTCAGGACTGCCCACAGCCTGCCCAGCATGGCTGGGCTGGGATTCTGTTCCAGCCAAACCAGAACACTCTTGAGCTCTGTGTTTGCAAAGGGAACTTTTAGTTGCTTTGGGTGTACAATCCTATTTTGAATTTATAGTCCTGTCTTTGGTCTTTTCCCCTAGTCCCCTTAACAAGGGGAAAGAGAGAGCTCTGCAAGGTTGACAGCTGATGGCTCTGGCCTTAGCTAGCCATGTAAACAGTATCAGGAGAGTTGCTACAGGGCCAAGAAAGGCTGTAGTGATTTCTGAGCCTTTGAACATTGTGGGGTTGTGTTTTTTTCTTTCTTTTTGGCAAACTTGCAGAGGTGAGGTAGAGGAGAAAATCTCTGACCAGTTCTGCAGTGTTTGTAGAAATTGGCCGTAGGCACTGTTTAGATTACAAATGAGTCTCCTGAGTACACAAAGGTGTGTTTATAGTGGACAGTCTCTTCCCTCTAATATCCTAACGTATGCCAAATAGCTCCTTGCACAGAAAAGCTGTTTGTTTGGACAAAGCTTGCGGAGCCAGAGCAGTGCAATTCAAGGGTTGCACAAAAGAACTGCTTTTCATCTTCAGACTTAACTGAAACATACTGGCAGGCACAGTTACCCTGTGCAGGTGATCGCAGAGGTCTGCCTTTACCCAACCTTCACTCTTCACCATGAAACCAAGATACATCATCACACCCATTTTTTACAGAAGGAAGCTTTAGCTACAAAACCAAATACATGGGTAGTTGTGACTGGTTTACTATTTGACAATTTTACATGGTCTGTAAAAGAGCTGGGGTGAGAACGCAGGTCTTCTGCTGACCACTTGCTCTGCTTTGCCTTAGCGTAAGCAAAGCAAAACCATCAACCCCTGCCTGATTACCTCTTCCTCACAGCTACTACCTCCCCAGACTGAGGCCGTCATAGCGATGAAGGGATGTGCTCCGATCAGACACCATGAACATCCTGGTTATGGAGGCAGAGCTTTCTCTGAATCGAGGCATAGATTCTGAAGACTTGCCTCCAAACAGGTTGCAGGGGATGCAGAACTGACCACGTCCATTATGGGGGATGTGTAAAACTTGTCCATGTCCCTGTTTCCATACAGTGACTTCCTCTTACTGGGCCTGATTTTTCTAGTGTTTTCTTGGCATAATAAATTGGAAAAGAAGTCTATTAACTAGCCAGGCTATTTTTCCTAGCAGATGAGGGAAACAAATAGTGTTGTGTCCTTGTTACTGTTCATCAGTTCTCAAAAGGTGCTAATTAGTCTGCTAAAGAAACCATATGGATTCTTGTTTCTTGCTGTTATCTTTTTGATCCCACTATCCCGTCTATTTCCTATTACTTTGAGAACTGTCCTGACATAGTTTTTAAAAGCTTATTCTGCATGAGTAGCTTAAGAATGTGACTTTTTAAAATGCTGCAATACCAATTGTCGTGGTTTAGGCCCAGCCAGTAACTAAACACCACACAGCCACTTGCTCATTCCTACCACCCCAGTGGGATGGGGAGGAAAAAAATATAACAAAAGGTAAGACAAGGACAGGGAGGGCTCACTCACCGGTTATGGTCATGGGCAAAAGCTAGACTTGACATGGGGAAAAAACATCACTCATTTGAACAACAACATTAATTTGCCAATCAAATCAGAGTAGCATAATGAGAAATACAACCACATCTTAAAAACACCTTCCCCCCACCCCTCCCTTCTTCCTGGGTTCAGCTCTTCTCCCAATTTCTCTACCTCCTCCCCTCAGCAGCGCAGGGGGGCAGGGAATGG